TATCAAGATTTGAGTAGGTTGGATATCGAGGGTTACTTGACTTGTTGTCATCCTTTAATGTTATTTATATCATACAAATTATATATATATATATATATATATATATATATATATATAAAAGAATATATCTCTTGAAATTTTAAAAATTCAAAATAAAGTAGATATCACCGACACAATCTGACGCATACACATGTCACACTATTTGATATTTTTGGTACTTATTATTAGCACTAGTTTTTTACGCGCATTGCGCGATTAGGATAATGCCCAATGTTTTTTTTTTTATTTATTTTTAAATAAGTACTTTAAAGTATATTAAGGCAAGATTATATTGAAATTGTTCATGCATAGATAATTGAAGGTTGAATTTGCGTATTTAAATAGGTAATTCTTCTCCCAAAGGTTGAGTCTCCAACCCCAAGGGCCCCCCACACTCCGACCCGACAGAGCATTGTGAGAAGTTGTAAATTGAGGTGACTCAATGGTTCAACAGACAGGACCAAATGCCGGTGCGAACAAGGAATCTGACCATTTTGGACATAATTCCCGCACTGCCGCCGCCGAGGTTCAAACCTTGGTCTCTTCTCCCAAATACTGCCCACTAAACCATTGAGCTAAGCCCGTGCGGGTTAAATAGGTAATTCTAAGTTTACAAATGCAAGATAATATAGTCAAGATTGATTATAATTGTCAATAAAATAATTGTATAGGTATGGTTGAAACCAAATACGGGACATAAGGGAGAACAAATAAAAATTAGGGCATAAAATATTAAATATATACTAATATTGTTTGAGGAGATTTCGACATTAGGATTTGTGGTTAAGTTCTATTAAGACTTTAATATTAGAATTAGATTAATGGTGTAATTATAATTCTATATTAGACGTTAATATTAGAATTAGACTAACGGTGAATTAACGGTATTTAACAAAAAAGTTAAATGGATAATCATATAATTAAGGATAAATTAGAAAAATTTTTAAAAAAAAATTAAAACCTGAACAATTTGAACCATTCATTTGATTTAATAATTTGGCGGTCATTTTTTCTACCCAATGTTAATAATTAAATAAATTCGTTGGTCAAATCCGCTAATATAATCCGTTAACTGCTGATTGTCAAACAAGGACATTGCAAGGTAGTTCTCACTTCAATTTGTTGTGTGATTTGAATACCCTCTTTGTCACAAAATCTCTCAAGTAGTTAATATGGTTGGCTTTATTAATTATATATTTTTTTAATCTTTTCATGGTATTAATAAAATACTTGGTAAATAAATATATAGCATTATTTTGTATTATAACTTTGATATTTAATTAGAAAAATAGTGCACAAAAAAGATAATAGACAATGTAGTGAATATAATCAATTGATGAATTTGAATGTAAAAATTTTTACATTTGAGAAAAATAAATACAATATAACTAATGAAAATATTTCTCTTAATTAATTTATTGATAATGAATAATTTTTTTCACTGAATTAAGACATTGTAAGGACAATGTAGCGAATATAATCAATTAATAAATTTGAATATAAAGAATTTTTATATTGTAGAAAAATAAAGACAATATAACTAATACAATTATTTCTCTTATTTAATTTATTGATAATGAATAATTTTTTTTTTGAATAAAGGCATTGTGGACACATAATTCTAAATTAAAGAAATGCATATCTATAATTTTTTGTTGTAGCTACTAAATTATTATTTATATAATTTAATAAGAGTAAAATAGAGTACTAATTATGCCAACTTTGATTGGGATGAGGTTCGAACCTAAGACCTTTTTTTTTTTTTTTTTTATTGAAATCAATGAGTAAGTTAACGGTGAACTAAGGGCAATTCTTAAAATTTTAACGGAATTAGTAACGGTGTGTGGGTATTTTAAGAAATTTTAGTGTAAAATTTAAATCTTATCAATCTTTTAATCAATTTGAGCTATTCATTTGATTAAAATCTGTGACCGCCATTTTTTCTACCCATTATAGGCCTAACTCTCTTGGGCTCTTATTAGTATAGTAGATTTGTTGGTTAAAATTTTAACAACAAAAAAAAAAAAAAATACACATACATTTGTGGTAAAAAAAAAAAAATAAATCACATTTTATGAATTGAAAAATAATATGGAAAATATTTGAATATGCGTGAACACATTTTTTTGTTTTTCTATAATCTTGTTAATATAAAAAAGGGAGAAAACTATGAAAAAGGTAGAAAAATGAGAAATAAAGAAATGGACTATATAAGTACTAAGAGCAAGGCCATCGGTAAAACTCATTTCGAGATTTTTTTTGGAAGGTCATTGCAACAAGGATATGTGTAGACCGGGGGGGGGGGGGGGGGGGGGTTAAAAAGAAAAACCAAACACGCATAAATGATGTGATCGCTAGTAGGCGCACTTTGTGCGTTAGACGTGACTCACACTGTATTTTATTTTAATTTTTTTTTTTTTCAAAAACCGTAAAAAACTTAGGCTTGCAAGGTCGGAGAGTTGAGTTCTTTCTCTCTTCTTATTCTTCTCCACAATGCATGTTTACCTTTAAAAACTTTTAGGCTCTGTTTGGAAATCCGGAAAATGACTTCTGGAAGTCATTTTCCGGGTTTTTGGTGTTTGGCTACACCTGGAAAATCCAGTCAACGGAATCCATTTTTCGTTGACTGGGAAAAATGAGGCTAATTTGGCGGAAAACGACTTCCGCCAAATTTGGGCGGAAGTCGTTTTTCGCCTCTTCTTTTTCATTTTTTTTTTTAAATTCTATGGTTTCCGGCGGAACTGGGTTCCGCCGGAAAGAAGCCATAATTTTTTTTTTTTTTTTTAAAGATTTAAAATAAATTTTTAATTTAGAATAAAATAATTAAAATATTTAATTATACCATTCTACTCTCATTTTCCAGAAAATGAACCAAACACACCAAAACAGTTTTCCAAATGCAACCAAACACTGGAAAAGGAAAATGTTTTCCGGAAAATGACTCATTTTTCAGAAACCATTTTCCAGAAGTCATTTTCCTGCTTTCCAAACGGACCCTTAAAGAAAAATTTCTTGATGGGGTTGCTCTAAGTATTTTTACAATGAGTAATCTATATTTTCATTGTGCATCCTTGTAGAGAATTTCTTATAAAATCAAAAATAAAAAATTATCAAAACAATGTTTTCAATTTGGACAAAGGCTACTTAATACCATTCTCAAATTGTATTTTTTCAATTCGATGCGTACATTTTAAGAATTAATTTTCAATCACCATTATCTATTTTAAGTGTCTTATATATATATCAAATTATACATCTTATTTAGCAGAACCCGAATCAACAATGACCCAACTTAAATCAAAAGTAAACCCCACTCAAAACATTAACTCAAAATGACCCCTTAACATGCCATTTTTAACTGAATTTCCAACATATATATATATATATATATATATATATATATATATATATATCTATATATATATCTTAGATAATATTATAGTTGGCTTAGTAATAACAAATATAATAGTTCAAGTTTAACTTTTCATCAAATTTGTCTATTAATATCTTCTAGTTTGAGCCGATCAACAATGAATAACCTAAGTTGGATTACATCTTTGTGGTTCTGATGAGAGCTATATTTCCACATGGACATAATAGCATGATCCTACATGCTTAACCCACACTTCAAACGCTGGATGCGAAACGCTGACTGAGGAGCCTTCACCGGACGCTGAGAAAGGGTTGACGCAGGACACGGATGGGAACTAGGGGTGTAAACGAGCCGAGCCGAGCCGAGCTCGAGCATGGGTTGGCTCGAGCTCGACCTCGAGCTCGATCGATCTCAAAAAATGATGCTCGAGCTCGGCTCGAGCAGCCCGATTGTTCGAGTTCGAGCTCGAGCTCGATCTCGATTTGAGCTCGAGTTCAGGCTCGATTTTAATCTCGAGTTTGACCTATTTGAATTATTCATATTTTAATTAATAATAAATATTATTTTATCCATACATAAATAATAAAAACTTAAAAAAAATTCAAAAGTCCAAACTTCAAGATTTAGGGTTTTCCTACTTTACGAATTTTAAGTAATATATATATATATATATATATATATATATATATATATATATATATATATATATATATATATATATATATGTTTATCTATTTATTTAATTATGGCTCGCGAGCAGCTCGACGAGCCACGAGCCTAGAATATTTGAGCTCGAGCTCAGCTCGTTTACTAAACGAGCCGCTCGAGTTCGGCTCGAACTCGATTTTGACCGAGCTCGAGTCGAGCTTTGACCGAGCGGCTCAGAAACCGCTCGCGAGCCGCTCGGCTCATTTACACCCCTAATGGGAACCATCAAATTCTGATCGCGCAGAAACAGAACAATCTGGGTGCGCCAAAATTTAAAAAAAAAAAAATTAAGATGTCAATTTAATACTGACAAAGTGATGCGCAGTAGACAACAAATTCATGGCCACAAGTAAGAAATTAGCAGAAGCTACATAAAAAACGGTCCATTCGAAAGACCCAACAGAGCCGTCAACGGCAATAGAGGGCGTAGACATGGTGAAAAATCCTAGCTAATTTGATACTAGTTGAGAGCTATATTTTAATTTCTGGATTTAATTACATCAAACACAAGATACAACAAGTTATATACAAGAGTTACAATAAAACTAGAATATATGAAATATTATAGTCCTAACCAATCAACTATAGACAACTTAAACTAATTTATTGACACTTTTGAGTAGCGAGCAAATGCAAATTTTTCAGTAAATCAAATACTTTCATAGTACATGGCTCATTCTCTTCTGAATTGACCGATCCGACAGCAATTTAAAACAAAGTTCAACTTTTAGTTCTATCTTAATTACCCCAAATTAATGTTTTAACAAACAATAATTCAAATAGACTAGAGCAACCTGTAACTTAGCACTTACTAGCTACGTACTATATATACAACTACAGTTATTCGTACCATGAATCAACAAAGAAAAAAAAAATAAAATCAAACAAGTTAATAAGTACATATATATAAACCCATAATATAAAGATCAATCAAACTACACCCAAAAATTTACACCAATCCATAACATAACAATGCACGCAAGAAGATTTTAAACCTAACAATGGTAGATATTTCTTCAGAATCTGAAAACACCACCATTTATGTACAGAAAAGTTGGACAACAACGAACACTTATACAACGTATAATATAAATTCACACCAGAGCTCACTCTCGAATAGTGGCTACATTTTCTTAAGAAAAAAAAATATAAAAATGAAATTTTGATATGAATTTGAGCATATAATTGATTAATTGATTACTCCATGATCAATCATTCTTCGTCTTTTGGAACGCTCCCCGGCGCCACACGCCGAACGTTCCACCACGGATTTCAACGCATTTCTGAGAAACAATATGGACGATTCATCAGCACAGGCGTGATCCTTAAGATCTCCGGCTAAAATGAAAACGTTTCTGATTCTTCCGCCGAGGGTTACCATCTCAGCTCTCAGGGGGCTTAGCCGGAGAGATTTGAGGGTGTGGATTAGGTCAGGGATGAGATCCATCCGGTCTTCGCAGCAAAGCGACGCCTTGATCACCAATCTACCGTCGCCGGAGCACTCGTCGTCGCTCGAGAGTAGAAGCGTGATCTCGTCGCTCTCCGACGGGATCCCGGTTTCGATCTCCATAAGTTCCGACGCCTCTTCTTTTAGCTCCCTCACGCGTTCAACCACTTTTGCCAGTAAAGAAGCTTTATCTGTCTGTACACAAATATAAAGCTAGAGTTTTAATTAGGAGATTCTTTGTCTTGTCTACAAGAATCAAGAAAATTTGAAACCCTAATTTTGTGAAAAGTGACACCACTTTAATTTTCCAAAACCCTTCACTGGTACATTCTAGAATATATAAAAACTAAAGCTAACTTGTTTAGATTCTTTTTCATTCTTCCAAAAGAGAACCTACTTTGAACCGAAATCCCAGACGACAAAACACGACAAAACAAAAAAGAAGAAATATTAATCTTTGCCACTTCCTCGTATCTGTTAAGGTTTAGTCTTCCATAGAAATAAAATAAGCTCAGAAAACAAGAAGAAGAAGAATAGAATACGAACCCTAGAGTTGCAGGGAAGAAGGGTTCTGAGGCAATCAAGATGGGAGTTGATTCTCTCCCGGCGTCTTCTCTCAGCTTCCCTGTGATTCTTGGAGGCGGCGAGAGCTCGGGCTTCCGGCGTGCAGTCGGAAACTGTTTCCGGCAACTCCGTATGGTAAAATGCGGAGCTGCAGAAGCTTTCATGATTGGAGGGCGGCGGGATTTCGTAGGTGGCCGGAAGGCCGTAGCTGCTTGCGGCATTTCCAGATAAGCTGTAATAATTATTGTTGTAGTAGTAGTCAAAGATTTCCGGCGTGTTGTCCGGCTGCATGTCGATGGTGGGTTCTGAAAAGAGCGAAAGAAAGAGCTTTCGGTGATATGATGATGAGGGTGTAGTACGTATTTGTCTAGGGTTGGCGATTCTATGGACTTAGCATTATTTATTTAGGTCTTTCTTGCTTTGAATATAGTAGTGGAGTTTGTGGTCAGTACACATGAAACCCACGATAACCTATGCCCAAATTTTTCATTTATTCTTTTGCAATCATTTTCAAAGCATGCACCTGCAACCTAGCTTATTTTAGAATATCAATAAATTTTATATTTATTGTTCCCAAAGGTTGAATCTTCATCCCGACAGAGCATCAAATTAATAAATTATAATAACTCAACTAAAAACACATTTGTTTATTGCGCACAAGAAGTCCCTCTCGCGCTAGTGAGACTCAGTCCGGGTTATTATTCAACGTCACCCCTATGACCAATTGAGCAGTCTATGCAGACATCAATTTTATATTTATGTTATCTTAATTCTTCTTAAGTGGTCCATGCAAATACTTAATATTGACTAGGGTTATACACAGACAAAAAATCAATAATATTTGTCTATTTTTCAACCATTCAATCAGTGAATGAAAATGTGTATATTTTGTTTTGAGTTTCTCTAGGCACATAAATGCTTATGTCGGAACATTCTTGTAATGGTTGCTGAAAATATTTTGACAACTAACCATGGCTAAAACCTCATTCTTCTTCTTCTTTTTAATTTATTTAAATGTAGACCACTCGTGGTTGAAAATTTGGACCACTAGTAGTTGGAACTCCATGAGCATGTCCAGTAACTTGACTAAAATTTTCAACATCTTTTGTTGATGGTTTGTGTTACCACCTACGCATTTTCGACTTATGCCCAAAAATGTCATTTCTGATCACTTTTTAACACTGTTGAAAAAGACGTTAGACGCCCGATTTATTATTATTATTATTATTATTATTATTATTATTTTATTTTTAGGGATTATTCGCCAAAAAAAAAAAAAAAAAGGTTCAACGTTAACCACTTAGACCGTCTAGGCGACCGGCCGTAAAGGAGGCCGATTTCGATGTTTCTCAACGTAGTCGGACACCGTCTAGGCGCGATTTTTACAATACTGCTTTTCAGTGATAGAACTTTATTCAAAATTTCCAGCAATAATAGAAAATTAGTTAACAGATAAAACTTAAAATCAAACTTTAATTTGATCTCTCTATTGTCTCCAAAAAAACAAAAATTTAGAGAAGGAAATCATATTTTCATATGTTAGACTTAAAATCTTTCGTTCATCAAATTTCAATCAGATATTTCTTTAATCTTGGTGCATATATGCATTACATTTGTAAGAGTTTGTGCATGTAAGTATGTAATCATATCTTGCCTACTAGACCTAAGGCTTTGATATATTATTTATTTGACTCACAATATAATGCTGAAATTGCACTAAAACCCATTACAATTACAAGTATTTGATTCATATTCAATTTTAATTCCTATGTACAAACCAAACACGTACACCCTAAATGTTTACTCCGAGCCACAATGAAAAACATTTCTATGAAAAGTTATTAGTGATATCCTCCCTACTACTATAAATTTGTTTATAAAGAGAGTGGATGTGGATCCAAATTGTGTCATGTGTGGGATATCTCAAGAGGACACTGTGCATGCTTTAGTGTTGTGTGATTTCGCAAAGGCCACATGGGGGCAATCGAACCTTCCAATCCCTAATATTGTGACAAATATTTTTCATATTTGGTATAGTGAACTTCTAAATGTTCTAGACTTTGATGGGATAATATATGCAGCATCAATTTTTTTTTTATCATATTTGGAGAGCACGGAACAGAGCGGTTTGGAACGCGTTTCTCCCGCAACCAAGAAAGCTGCTTGCGGTAGCCGCTGCGACTATGCATGCATGGCGACAATCACGATCCACCACCGCCGATGCTGGAACAATGCCCAAACACCCAAATGCAGTCGTGGAGCCATCACTGCCACACGCGACGCCGCCTATAGCCGCTGCTACAAACGCCGCCCCATCGCCGAGAATTTGCCGAGTCGATGGGGCCGGTTACCTCCACGACTCGGGCAAGGCAACGATAGGGGCAATTCTCCTCGATATGGATGGGGGATATGTTGCAACGTTCAGTGCACCATTCCCGGATTGTTTTTCACCACTTATGGCCGAGGCATTCACATGCAAGAAAGCCTTATCATGGTTGAAGGACCGAGGCGAGCGGTCAGTAGAGCTATACATAGATTGTCTGTCATTACAGTGTTATCTTACTTCACCACCATCCACAGTTCGTTCGTACATTTGCTATACTATTGATAGCTACAGAGCAACCACGTCTTCGTTTGATTTCTGTTCATTTAATTTTGTTCCTAGATTAGAGAACTATTTAGCACATGCTTTAGTATCTACTGCGTTCCAGCAGCCTACTATTATATACTGAGATCTATTCCCACCTAAAACGTTATTACGACATATTTATAATGAAACTACTCCTTATTATTTAAAAAAAAAAAAAAAAAAAAACAATGACCTTACCACAAATAATGCAATAAATGGTTTCATTATAGCACTACATTATCTTATATATTTCATCTGAATTATATAATTTTATATATGCATGTCTACCGAAACCGATACTCTACATTGGATCGATGCAATTCAGAAAATTTTAGAAAAAAATTTAAATTTGTATTAGGTATATATTGTGGGGCACTCATAATACCATAAGGACAATAATATACACTCAAAATTTTGTTCATTCTCTTTTGAATTACACCATATATAAGAGACATCCATATTAAGTAACATTTTAAAAATTTCTTATGGTAAAATATGGTGAAAAAGTGGGCATTATAAAAATTTTGATATGATGTGGGCGGTCCATAGTTGATTTTGATAGAGCTGAAAAAGCAAAATAAAAATAAAAATAAATAAATAAATAAATAAAATAATCATGAGTGGAAATGATGGCTCTTAGATTTTGTGGTGTGGCATGGAGAGTGCTTTACCCAAACGCATGCATGACTTTGGATAATTTAAGTGGATCGATGTGGAAAATATTATAATACTACATGTACTATTGTTCTATTTTTACTCCTGCAGGTTGAGGTATCATTTTTTTTATTGATTTAATTAAATAATAAAGTTTATCACTGTTTTTATTCATTTACTTTATTTATTTAAAAAAATTTGTATATGTGACAAGAGTTATACTCGTACATATATCATTTTTCATAAAGCGTGTACTTTTAAATTTCACCCTCTTACTTTTACTCCATGATGTGACAAACAAAGATATGATATTTTCATCATGTGAATTTTAAAAAAAATGTTTATATTTAAAATTTGTGAGAAGAATAAAAATTGAGAATAAAAGATGTGAGTATTTAGTATTTTTCTTTTCTATATTATAATTTGTTAGGACAAAACACTGCAGATAAAGGCTCCATGAGATGTCGGGGACGACGACTCCACGATCATGATGATCCTATATACTACTTTATTACCTAGAACCGCAGGAATTAATTATTATGTTTGTTTACAATGTTAATTATTAGGTATGTCTCCCTAATATGGAAACGTTTTTACCTTTACGCAACCCGAAATCACAATTTTCTTTTTCATTCAAATCAAATTTGTAATCATAGACTTATATAGTGTGACAAAAATATAATTTACTTTTTTTTTTTTTGAAGACATATAATTTACTTTTTAAAAATTTATTTATTGTACACTTTTAAATAGTGATGATAAATTTCTTCCATAATTTAAAAAAATATGTATAATAAATTTTTGTAGAGTTTAAATATAAAGTTATAAATACTTAGAGAGTAAATACTCAAAATGGCCCATCGACTATAGCTAAATTCACAAATTGGTCATCGACTTTCAATTTCACTCAATTAAGTCCTTAACTTTGTAATTTTGACACGATTTGGTCCTCCATCTATTTGACCGTTTGTTGACCGTGATCGACAATCTCCAGAAGAACCTTCAGCTCTCGTCGGAGCACGTGGTGACCTCCCGGATGACGTTGCACTGGTTCGGAAACACGTCGTCTTCTTCACTCTGGTACGAACTCAACTACATTGAATCCTAAGAGAGGATGAAGAAAGGCGACTGGATTTGGTAGATTGCTTTCGACAATGGATTCAAATGTAATAGTGCGGTCTGAAAATGCAACCAGAACCTTAAAAAATCGACGATGGACCATGAAATTACATATATATCCTCAAAAATCACAGTCAATAAACGGTCAAATAGACAGAGGACCAAATTGTGTTAAAATTACAAAGTTAAGGACTTAACTGATTGAAATTGAAAGTCAAGGACCAATTTGTGAATTTAGCTATAGTCGATGGACCATTTTGGGTATTTACTCATACTTAGAATCGATTCTTGCTAACACTCTTTTGGTATAACATGTTGCATAGCGTCTTTCTAGTGTAATTTACTCCTTTTACATAATTTAATAATTTGTAGACTGTTATACAAGATTTGATTTTACTTATTACACACTTTTAAATAGTGATTGTGAATTTTTTGGTTATCCAAAATAAAATATAAAGTTATATACCCAAAAATATATATATATTTCCTTCATTATATTTGTAATTTATTTAAGCTATATGTCCATATCTCTTTCATTTAGTAAATGTATTTTTTGTTCAACTTAACTTGCACGGCTGAAATTTCAATTTTAGAAGGTAAATAAGATTTCAATTTTTGGGGCATATTGTACTAGTATAATGTAATATCACATTGTTAGGGCCTGCTTAGGACACCTCGTGGTCTAACTAAAATGTAATATCACATTAAAAAGGGAATATAGTATAAGATAAATTTGGAAGGAGAATGTTGCAAGGCTTCTATTTAAATTGATTTGTACTTAAATATAATTTTTTTTTGGTATACTAATGAATGTTCCAACTACACAATAATTTAGAGAGTAATGAAACATAGTTCACACTATTATAATAATAATAATAATAATAATAATAATAATAATTTATTAATTTGTAGTTGGTAGCAATAAACAGATCTAGGCTCTAGATGTGGCTCTTTAAATGCAAATGGTCACTCCTTTTACTACCTATACTCTTCAGAAAATTTATTAGTTTTGTAATTTTTTAAAGAAAAAATTCGCAATCGCTATTTGAAGATATATATATTGAATAAACTCTATTTCTATATAATAGTTTGCAAATTATATACGAAAGAAAATTACACTAAAAAAATCATATATAACGAGCTTTGCTAAAATAGTGTTGATAAGAATTAATTTCAAGATCTTATGGTATGAAAATTATGCTCTACTCACTCTGTCTTTCGTCAAAGAGAGGAACTAGGCTTGAGAAGAAAATGACATATTTAAGAATGGGGATCCAAATATTATTATTTCAATTTTAAATTATATTAGTAACATTTTAAAGCGTAATTTTGTTTATTGTCATCTGATGATATTTGTAAATCATCTCATAATTGCAATATATATATATATATATATATATATATATATATATATAACTTAAATATGCACCAAATATTCGCAGTTGTTATCCAAAGGGTTTGTACTCCTTAAATTTATTTATGTGTAATAATTTACAAACAAACATAAAAAGTAAATCGCATCAAAAAATTCCGCACAATAGATTGAACAAAAATGTGTTAACAAGTATAGAATTTTTTAATTTTTTTTAAAAAAAAAAGAAGTATCGAAATTTTTATTAATTTATGTTGGAAGTGCGCAGTGCAGATAAATATGCAAGTGGTGTCTACTTTATTTGTACATAGAGATTCTGTTTAGGTGCGAACGAGTGTCCAGTATCTTTTTGGTCTTCCTTTAGAAAAGGCGGAACACACTAGTATCTGAACTAGAAACAAACTTCACTTTCTCCATTAAAAAGGACTAAGCCACAGGGTTTCAGAATAAGAAATAAAAAAAAGAAGACAAAAAAAATAAAAAGCAACAAAAATAATATTCTACTAGCTGCCTTCCCACTTTGCTACATCATCATCTTCTCTATTTCTGCCATTCTTTCTACTTTCTCCTCTCTGGTATCCATAATTCTTCTACTGTTCTGTTAGAGGCCAAAATATGGCCTTAAAGATGTGGTCTCATCTTTTTTTTCTTTTTTTTTACTATGGTTTTGTTTTTCAACTTCTGCTTCAAAGTCCCAGCAAGATGTAGTATACCAAAGTGACGGGTAGAGCTACTAACATCCCAAATATCACTCTGCAATGGAGAAAAAAACATTGCAGAAACATCATTAAACTGCAGCCAAAGTTGTTAATTATTGGAGCAATGCAGAAACAAACAAGAATGTTATAATGTAACAAAGATCCTTACCCAGTGCTGAGGATATCAGGATGGACATTGTATTCCTTGGCAAACACAAAGGGAACAATACCTTGGGGTAGGGCTGCCTGAAAATCAGACCAACAAACAAACATAACTTCACAAGATTAATGAAAGCTCTAATTTAGTCTGTTCAATCCAAAATGATGCAATTGAATGTGTATCTGTTGGGTGGAGGCCGGTAAGGGCCAAGTCCAGTACCGTGTGGCTAGGCAGAGACTGGTAAAGGGCCAAGTCCAATATAAGAAAATAAAGTTGCGTCTTTGCTACTAGCTATAGCTATTGGTGTAGTGGTAAGCGCTTGATCCTAACAGTATGGTTTTACCTGAACAATCGCGATGTGCAGGAGGACGCCTCGAAGGCCAACTGCAATGGAAGCAGCAGCCATGACAGCAGGTCCAGTAATGAACCTTATAGCCATGGAGAAGGAAGCAACTGTTTTCCCACAGGCAATCATTCTAGGCTGCAATGCCATGAATAAACCTGCAATAAAACTTTCAAAGAATTAGATATCACAACTAAATGTGCTATATTTCAGATATCAAAAGTTTTGTTTATGAACATACCAAGACTAAACATTGCCATTCCAAGACCAGCATCCGACAGAATAGCTATCGATTTGGCCACAATCGCAGGCATCTCAACATGCCATCTGCAGACATTATTGTAAACTAACTATCACGAGTTTTATTCAACAAAAACGATATCAAATTCAAGGTCAGTTTGTCGCATACTTGAACGAGACCAAAGACCAAACAATGCCAAAGAGGCTGGAGTAAGTATTCGGGTTCCTAATAAGCTTCCGCCACACCATACTCATAATGAGTTTGGTCATGACACTTGCAGGAGGCATAGCTGCAGGCTTCGCATCTGGAGCAACCTTTGCATTGAGTTCAGTAGTCGAGCTCGAGCCAAGCTTGGATAGCACAGGCCCTTCTCGCTCATTTCCATTCGGGTTTTGCCTCGAATCATCTCTTCCAAATTCATCATAATCTATAGAACATTATACACACTTCAATTTGATTGTTAAGTATGCAATAAAATGCCAACATTATAAAGGAAATGTGGGTTACACTACTAGCTGGAAAATTTGTAGATGTGACAAATCACAGGAGAAGACAAATTCGACCAAAACTTCTGGGACTGTGCAATGTAAGAACATACCAAAAACAAGGAACCTATACTAGGTTAGAGCAATGCAAACAAACATATCCACTAGGATCAAACAATAATTAAATTATGCAAAGAACTTAAGCATGTGTTCCATCTCAACTAAAAGTCTAAACTGATGCACTTATTCTTATATATATTATATACTCAACACGTCCTCTCATGTATGTGAACTAATCTGTTAATAGTTGGACTGCACATTTATGTTTATATATTATATGGTCGACAAACTATAGAGATAACAAAATATAAAGTGTGCAAACCTTTTGGAGGAGCACCAACAGCAAGTTCATGGCCATAGTCACCTTTCCTGAAGACATGAATTCCACCTTCAGACACCGGAGAACCACCGGAGCTCCAGACGAACATGTGATGATCTTTGCCAGCACTATCGGTCCCATTGGCCTTCTTCTTGGCCGCCGGCGCAGTCATCGGAGAGAATATTCCGGCACTGGCCGGAGCAGGATAGCCAGCATAACCCCTTCCAAAACCAATCTCCTCATCGAACCCAGAATTGGACCGCCTTGGGCTCAGATTTGCGTTCTTCCCGTTCACCAGGGAGTAAAAATCTGTGTGGTTAAAGCTTGAGCCTCTGGGAGTTGGGTTCCTTGAAGACTGCAGAGAGTAAATCTCTGCATTAGAGAGATTTGAAGCTCTGGGTGTGAAGGAAAGCCCAGAGTTTGGGCCGTGCCTGGAGAAAATTTCAGATCTTGAGCTGGTTGATTTTCTCACAGTCACATGAAGCCTTCCATCCTCTCCAACCTCAGCTTGAGTCTCCAATGGCTCCTTCCCATCCAAGGAGATAATATCAGAGTCAACTTTGAAGGAGATAATGGAGCCGGCATTGTCAGGGAACTGCTCCGCAATCAGCAATCTGGCACCTCTGAACTCAAACAAGAAGAGCAGCAAAGTGTACCAGATAATACACTGAAGCACCACAATCTGAACCATGAGAGTCCCAGAGGCATCCCCATACATGCCCTTCAGCAATGGAATGCCCATCACAAGTGTGTTAGGGAGGGTGGAGACAGAGAACAGAGTAATGGACCATTCAAGGGACCCCCTGGAACTGGTCCATGACCACACGGCTAAAACCACAAGGACAATGATTTTCTGCAGAGTGTCAGCAGCTATGAACCTGTAGTTCATCTCATATGGATTGTTGGTGGAGATGAAGTGAAAAGACAAAAGAGGAACGGCAAAGAGAGCCACAAATCTGTTTATCCCGGAGCACTGCCCCGGGGTGAAGATTTTCCACCATTTCACTGACCCATAAGCCAAGATCATAGCCACATACAATGGAACCACTGCAGTAAGAACATGGTAAAGATCTGAAACTGTGATCATTTTCTTCTTCTTCTTCTTCCCCAGATCAGAAACGCCTATCTATCTGCCAATTCTTGCAAGAAATGAAGCAAAGACAGAAGATAGAAGGAATTGTTTTGTGTTCCCAAGAAGAAGGAAGAAAAAATCTTGAAGTTTTTGTGGAAAAGCTCCAAGCTTTCCTCACGCACGCATTGCATTAAATGGATGCATGTATGTATTGCGAAAACCCAACAACCTGAGCAGCCCTGAAAGGAGAAAGTGGAGTGGATTTTTGGTTGGAAAGGAAGGGTGGGGACATGAGAGAAGTGATGGGATATATTTATGGGAGGCAAAGAAATAAGATTGCAAAGCTTTTTTTCTGGTCATTTCATGATGGGGGAAGACACAATCCCCATCTTCACCCTATCACGCGTCAGACACATTTATACATATGTTTTCTGCAAATATATATATACATATTATCATATCGTACTATCAACACAGAACACTGCTTCAAAGCTGATTCTCAGTGAGACGTTGGAAGACTTGGGAGCCAGCTTTGATTCATTATTTTTGTACTTTGATCTTCATTATCTCCATTTTTTTGTTCTATTTTAATATTAAATTTGAAATACTTATAGTAATAATAAAAGTTATTATCATTATCTTTCTTTACTTTTCAACTTTAAAATAAATAATAAAAAAATTAAATGGTCAATTATGAAAAAATATCATCCGAATATTGGCTTTGAAACTTGAACATATATATTTTTTGATAAAGAAACTTGAAAAAATCTGTGTACTATTGTTTTCATTAAAATAGTTTTAATTAATAAATGTTTTCTTGCTATTCCAATATGTTGAAAAAAATATAATACTAATTAGAAATAAATTGTTTGTTATTTATAAGAAAAATTGTAATACTTTTAAAACAAAAATTGTAATATTTAAGAATTGAACGATTACTTATAAGAAAAAATATAATACTAATCATGATACATAGATTCGTTGCTATTTATGAGAGAAAGTATAATACTTATGAGGAAAAATATAATTTTTTTTAATAAAAAATGTAATACTTTTAAATCAAAATATAATATTAGAGGTTATAGAGTCGCTTATGAGGAAAATTGTAATACGTAATGAAAATCCAATCAATTTCACGAACGAAGATCTGCATAGTCGTACTTAGGGGCATTATACCAGCCAAAAAGTAAAATGACCGGATAGTAATTCAATCTGAAAAAGGTAGACTAGTCAGATAGTATATATAGTCAACAAGGCCGAATGGTAAGAAGACTCAAAGACGACGAGTTCAAGACTCAAAAGATGCAAATGTCGAATAGTGGAAGGGCCGTATAGTTAAAATAAGCGAATGGTTCAATGGTTCCATAGAGTAACGCTCACGGAAAGTAACATCAACATAATGGTTCACAACATATATTGTTGTTGTTGTTATTGTAGTTGTTACGTTGTAAGATATTTTAAATGATAGATTTATGACTTTATGCGTTTTAATGTGATACAAGCTCATCTTTATTTATCATCTTTATGTAAGAATTTGATAATTATTTAAGAGTTTGGTGGTTTGTTTTCAAAAAACAAAAAAAAAAAAAAAAAAAAAAAAAAACTTTGTGCATTTTGTCCAACTTTTTCTTATATCTAAATATTAAAATGATAGATTTTGATTCCTTCAATAGCGGTGAAAATGGACCGTTAAAATATAAACGGGGTAAATTAACTAGGCAGAGGACAAAATAGGGGACTTCAACCCAAAACCTTTTGATGAAAGTTTTTAAACTCCACTATAACTCTTTTGATGAATGTTTTTTTTTTTAAAAAATAAATTGTATTTATAAATTTAAACATTTAGAAGCAAAACACTTGCCACAATTATATATATATATTTTTTTAATGCTATTCACTTTATTACAATATAGTATATATTCAAACCTGAGATCTCACATTTGAGGGGTCATAGTTATGCCGCTCGACCACAAGGCCTTTGGCACAATTATATTCTTTTAATTTGTGTAATATGCCCTTTATTTTATTCAAAAGCAATACATGGTTTTTATTAAATTTTTTGAAACAATATTTAACAACATTAATTTTATTCAAACAACTTTACAATATATTTGTAAAAGCTTCAAAACTAATTTTATTTAATTAAATATTATTTCCAAATGTTTAATGTTCTTACAACTCCTTTAACTTTTATCAATATTAATATGTATTTTATTTCATTTAATTAACCGTTTGAAAAAAAAAATATTGTAGTAACCTTACAACATGATTTTAGAAACTTCCAAACAAATTTTATTTAATTTTACATTGTTTCAAAATGTTTATAGTTCTTAGAATAAAATTAATTTTTAGTATTGTTTCAAAATGTTTAATAAAGTAAAATTAATTTGAACATTTTTAAAAATATATTGTAAAATTCATGAAATAAAATAATTTTTTAAAAAATATTGTTTCTAAATTCGTTATTAGTCCATAGTACAATTTGGCTCTTGTGAGCACCAATGTAGTAATTCTTTTCTCAAAAAAAAAAAATGTAGTAATTTTAAATCCATTATACATCCATCATGTGCCTCCCCTATAAGACCCTAATAGCTTTCTAAGGAATAAATTAGAGGCGAAATGAATTGTAATTCGGTAGGAAAAGAATAATGTGATAATAAAGTAGGAATTCAAATTATAGTGTTTAGTATGTAAGAATAGGATTTCAGGAAATTGAAAAGGAATAAGTGATACAATGACTAAAACATCTTTTATGTAACAACAACAACAACAACAACAACAACAACAATAGTAATAATAATGCAATAATCCCACACTAGGTAGAGGTGTAGAGCAATCAAATTTAGCCTCCAGCTGATGCGCATAGGTGGGGGCAAAAATGTCTTCATACTTCTTTTTTTTCTCCCATTCAGAACCGAATTGCAATTCTTTGGGGAGGTGGGAATTGAAACATGTGCTCCATCTCAACTAAAAGCCTAAGCTGATAATTGGATTGCAACGTAATAGCTATATGCTCACAGTGGGGAGGGGGGGGGGGGGGGGGAAGAGGGGTCTGAATTCTAATTCAGCAAATGGAGGGAATTGGAATTGCAATTTCCTCTAACCAAACAACATAATTGTGGCCTCCATTGATTCCCAATTCAACTATAGCTAAATTACAATGAACCACTAAAGGGCAGTGTAATATACATCTTCAAGGTTACGTTGAAGTTCAACATTTTTTAGAATACTCCAATTGTGTTCCCTCATTTAGGCTACCTTAGCTATACTTCTTCTCATCAGCTGAACTCGCATGTCTTTGGCCCCACTATGACAAGTTTCAAAATATCGTTAAAGATAAAGATGTAATTGAAGAGCAACCTCATTTGTTTTTGTAGACACTTAAATTTTGATAAATATTGATTATTTATCAATATTAGTATATTTGAATATATTTGAAATATTTTGGATAATATTGATATTATCTAATTTGTTAATTAGATAATATCAAAAGAGTTTGAGCTTATCAAAACTCTCTATCCTACAGCTATAAATAGGAGTTCTCATTTCTATGTAATCACACACACATCCTAGGAAAAGTGATGTAAACATCTAGAAAAATATTATTCAGGATCACAATAAAAATGTGATACTGAAAGTAGAAGTCTCTCCTCCATAATGATCATGCCTATGCCTATTGATCCAAACCTCCATTGAAGATCAAGCCATTTGAACCCGGAGGCCCTTCAAGAAGAACAAGCTATATATACAAGCCCTTCTTTGAAGATTAAGCCACTTGAAACCCGGAGGCCCTTCAATGGTAGAGTGTTCAAGGCACCAATTGAAGAATCAGAGGATATCCAGAGACTTGTACTCACACCGCATTGATATTTGATATGTAATCTAGAAAATTGAATTTTAAAATATATATTTAATTTTCTTTGTTTACAAATTGGCACGCCCAGTGGGACAGCTCTGCCTCTCATCTCTTCATAGGTACTTTCAACCGATATGGGGGCAAACCCTGTATGAAATTTGAAATGGAGGAAGCTAGACAATACTCCTTGGCACGAGTAAAAACGGCCTCATATCTTTCAAGGCTCCTTGGCACGAGTTGAAACGGCCTTATATCTTTAAGTTGTAGTGTCGAGACTTTCTTGCACTATATACTTTCGAGTGTTATATGCTCTCAAATGGTGTACAAGCAAGTCTCGAGGGGGCATTTGTAGACACTTAAATTTTGATAAATATTGATTATTTATCAATATTAATATATTTGAAATATTTTGGATAATATTGATATTATCTAATTTGTTAATTAGATAATATCAAAAGAGTTTGAGCTTATCAAAACTCTCTATCCTACAGCTATAAATAGGAGCTCTCATTTCTATGTAATCTCACAGACACATCCTAGGAAAAGTGATGTAAACATCTAGAAAAATATTATTCAGGATCACAATAAAAATGTGATCCTGAAAGTAGAAGTCTCTCCTCCATAATGATCATGCCTATGCCTATTGATCCAAACCTTCATTGAAGATCAAGCCATTTGAACCCGGAGGCCCTTCAAGAAGAACAAGCTATATATACAAGCCCTTCTTTGAAGATCAAGCCACTTGAAACCCGGAGGCCCTTCAATGGTGGAGTGTTCAAGGCATCAAATTGAAGAATCAGAGGACTACACAGAGACTTGTACCCACACCGCATTGATACTTGATATGTAAACCAGAACTTTGAATTTCTAAATATATATTCAATTTTCTTTGTTTACAAATTGGCACGCCCAGTGGGACAGCTCTGCCTCTCATCTCTTCATAGGCACTTTCAACCGGTATGGGGGCAAACCCCATATGAAATTTGAAATGGAGGAGGCTAAATGATACTCCTTGGCACGAGTTAAAACGGCCTCATATCTTTCAAGGCTCCTTGGCACGAGTTGAAACGGCCTTATATCTTTAAGTTGTAGTGTCGAGACTTTCTTGCACTACATACTTTCAAGTTTTATATGCTCTCAAGTGGTGTACAAGCAAGTCTCGAGGGGGCATTTGTAGACACTTAAATTTTGATAAATATTGATTATTTATCAATATTAGTATATTTGAATATATTTGAAATATTTTGGATAATATTGATATTATCTAATTTGTTAATTAGATAATATCAAAAGAGTTTGAGCTTATCAAAACTCTCTATCCTGCAGCTATAAATAGGAGTTCTCATTTCTATGTAATCACACACACATCCTAGGAAAAGTGATGTAAACATCTAGAAAAATATTATTCAGGATCACAATAAAAATGTGATACTGAAAGTAGAAGTCTCTCCTCCATAATGATCATGCCTATGCCTATTGATCCAAACCTCCATTGAAGATCAAGCCATTTGAACCCGGAGGCCCTTCAAGAAGAACAAGCTATATATACAAG